TTAGGACAAGGGGTCTGGCTCCTGCAGCCCCACTCCCTGCTGGCAGGGACCCTCCACCCACAAGGAGGAAAGAGAAACCAAATGGACAGAGCCTGGGCCCCTGAGACCCACTGGCCTTGGACTCACGTGACGAACACGTGGCCTGAATCTTTCAGCCCTGGTGTGCGGGGACGCCCCAGCCACGTGGCAGTAACAGACTGTTGCCCTAAAATCAAAGGAGCTTTGCCAACCCCTCCAAGACTCTTACAGAAAAATAAGACTTCGTAAGACTTTTCCGAAGCCAGAGCCCACGCTGAAATCAGAACCTTGTGGAGCATCACTCAGATAAATGGGGCTTGAAAGCAGGGACCCCTTTGAAAGGATCGCCTGGAGTTCAGGTCCCACCCACCTCTGCCTTCCCGGCTGAGGGGCACAAGTTTCCTTGACAACCCTCATAAACCTGCTCCGTTCCCTTGGCAACCAACTTTCTGAATTGCCCAAACCTTCCCTGTTTGCAGCATTCCTGTTGCAGTCTCGCAGAGCCTAAAGGAACACTGCTGTTACTATGTGTCAGCAAATCCATGACTCTAAACCTGCAATTATCAGTTACATGAGGTTATTTTTTTTTAAGATTTTATTTATTTATTTGACAGAGAGAGACACAGCGAGAGAAGGAACACAAGCAGGGGGAGTGGGAGAGGGAGAAGTAGGCTTCCCGCGGAGCAGGGAGCCCGATGCGGGGCTCGATCCCAGGACCCTGGGATCATGACCTGAGCCGAAGGCAGACGCTTAACTGACTGAGCCACCCAGGTGCCCCTACATGAGGTTATTAATCAAAAAATTCCACAAGAACCAGCTTTCCAGGGTGACTCATTCTGTACTTGGCTCCCATGGGAAGGATGCTGTAACTGTTCTCATGGTGGATGAACCCCCTTTCTGACGGAGCCAGGCCTTGGGTCCCTCTCATCTCAGCTGCTTTGAGTGTCCCCATACCCTCATGCCCACAATATTGCTCTCAGCACCAGGTCATGGAAGACCTTACTCATCTCCTAGGATGAAAGGGTTATTTTATACACAAATAGTGGGCTGAATGGTGGCCCCCAAAAGATGTGTCCCCCAGAACATGTGAAAGTGACCTTATTTGGGAAAGGGTTCTTTGCAGATACAACAAATGAAGGACTTTGAGCTGACACCATCCTGGATGAGCATGGCCCGAAATCCAACGATAAATGTCCTTACAAGAGACAGACGAAGAGAGACACAGACACAGAGGAGAAGCCACGTAAAGATGGAGAAGGAGATGGGAGGGATGCAGCCACCAGCCTAGAGACACCTTCCAGCCCCGGAAGCTGGAACAGGCAGGAAGGACCTGGAGCCTCTGGAGGGAGCATGGCCCTGCCCCGCCTGGATCTCAGACTTCTGGTCTCCAGAACTGGAAGAGGATAGATTTCTGTAGTTGTAAGCCATCCAGTTTAGTTAGTTATTGCAGCCATAAGATACTAATTCCCATAGAAAGAATGCTCTCTCCTTCGCTTTGCTCTGATCCAGGATAAAACTAATATAAAATGCTAACATTTGAGCATTGTGAATGGATGATATGTAAGAATTCTTTATACCATGTTATGGCTTTTTGAAAGTTTGTCATTGAGTTAAAATAAACATTAACAGGGACACCTAGTGTGGCTCAGTCATTAAGCGTCTGCCTTCGGCTCAGGTCGTGATCTCACGGTCCTGGGATTAAGTCCCATATCAGGCTCCCTGATCAGTGGGAAGCCTGCTTCTCCCTCTCCCACTCCCCCTGCTTGTGTTCCCTCTCTCTCTGTGTCTCTCTGTCAAATAAATAAATAAAATCTTTTAAAAAATAAATATAAAAAAATAAATTTTTATTTTATAAAAATAAAAAAAATAAACATAAACGAAAATTCTCAGGAAAAGTCTATGTTTATGCTTGATCCGGGACATTCTGTGCTCACTGATAAGTCCATGCCTTTACTTTCAGATGAATGTGATGGACTTGGGCCGTAACGCCTGCTCTTCATCTCAGGTTATTATAAGGGCAAATAAGCACAAGCAGCAAAAGCAAAAATACACAAATGGGACTACACACTTAAAATCTTCTGCACAAAGGAATCCATAGAGTGAAAAGGAGACCTATAGGAGAAAATAATTGCAAATCCTATTTCTGATAAGGGGTTGATATTCAGAATATACAAAGAACTCCTACAACTCAACAATGAAAACAAGTGACCTACTTGATAGGTAGACCTGAACGGACATTTCTCCAAAGAGACACACAGATGGCCAGTGGATATATGATGAAAATATGCTCAGCATCTCTAATTGTTAGAGAAATGCACACTGGAAGCACAATGAAATACCACCTCACACCCATTAGGATGGCCACTATCAAAAAAGAGGAAACAACCAGCATTGGTGAGTGTGTGGAGAGATTGAAAGCCTTGTCCTGTGCTGGTAGGAATGCAAACTGGTGCAGCCACTCTGGAAAACAGCATGGATGTTCCTCAGAAAACTAAAAACAGACCTACCATCTGACCCAGCGATCTTGCTTCTGAACACATTTCCAAAAGAACTGAAAGCAGGATCTCAGGAGCACCTGGCTGCCTCACTTGGTGGAGCATGCAATTCTTGATCTCGGGGTTGTGAATTTGAACCCCACATTGGGTGTAGAGATTTTTAGAAAAATAAAAATCTTGGGCACCTGGGTGGCTCAGTTGGTTAAGCATTCAACTCTGGATTTCAGCTCAGGTCACACTCTCTTAAAAAAAAAAAAAAAAAGCCAGCAGGATCTCAAAGAGATATCTGAACGCCCATGTTCACTGCAACATTATTCACAATAGGCAAGAGATGGGAACAGCCCACATGTCCTGGATAGAGGAATGGATAAAGAAAATGTGGTATATACATACAACGAAATATTATTCAGTCTTAAAAAAAGAAAAGAAAAGAAAAGGAAAGAAAGAAATCCTGTCCTCTTACAACATGAATGACCCTTGAGGATATTATGAGTGAATTAAGGGAGTCACAAAAGGACAAACACCATATGATCCCACTTATATGAAGTGTCTAGAGGAGTCAAATTCATGGAAGTGAAATGTCAGGGGCTGGGAAGAGGGGTTGGGAGTTGTTCAATGGGTCTAGAGTCTCAGTGTTGCAACATGAAGTTCTAGAGATCTGTTGCACAAAACAGAATATAGTTACTATGAAACTGCATGCTTAAAAATTAAGAGGCTAAATTCTCTATTCTGTGTTTTCGGCTACAATTAAAAATAGGGTTTTAAAAATATTTTTTTATATTTTTATAAGATGTTTAAGTAAACTCTACACCCAACATGGGGCTCAAACTCACAACCTGAGATCAAGAGTCACATGCTCTCCTGACTGAGCCAGATGGGTGCCCCCAAACTAGTTTAAAGGCCAGGTTAGCATTATACTTTTTTAATATAGAAACTTTATTTTTTAATTTTCTTTTCTTTTTTTAAGATTTTGAGATAAAGCATGAGCAGCGGGAGAGGGAAAAGCAGACTCTCCTATGAGCATGGACACCCCCCCCACCCACCCATAGGGCTTGATGCCAGGAACCTGAGACCATGACCTGAGCTAAAGTCAGGTGCTTAATGGACTGAGCCACCTAGGCACCCCTGGAAACTTTAAAAGCTTTAATGAATTCAGTTGCATAGTCACAATACTTCAAAATACGGGGTCCCCAGTGGGAGAAGAATAGCGTACAGGTCCCTGATGGGGAAGGACTCTGATGCGGTTCCATCCGGTTCAACTCGACACTTCCCAAGGTCACTCCTGGCCCTAGAATTTCTATGGTTCATGGCCTAGGACATCTTCTCTTCCCCTGCGTTTTTCCCACAGGCACACTACCAGTAAAATATTAACAATATGGTCATCCCTCAGATTGTGGCAGCATGGCCTGGAACGAGATGCGCTGGCCCATCGCCCACCTCCCAAATGAGGAAAGGCAAGTCAGACCTGGATTCTGCAGCTTACGACCTCAAGTCACAGAAGGTCTCCGTGAGGCTGTGAAGGGACCTCACGGGAAGTTAACTGCCTTCAGGAGTGACTGTCAACTTGATTACTAACCAGAAGAGCTTCCCGGAAGATCGCAGGGAGAAGGTGCAATGTAGAGTCAGAGACCACAGCGTCCAGACAAAGCAGTCTCAGACCGAATTCTGCACCATGCCTGCGCAATCGCATGCCAAGGACTTCACGGGTCCTGTTTGGGGCTGAATTGTGTTCCCCAAACGATAATGTTCACATCCTAACCCCTAGTACCTATGAACATGTCCTCATTTGCATTAGGTTCCTAGCAGACATGACCAAGTTAAGGTCCCACTGGAATAGGGTGGGCCCTAATCTAATGACAGGTTTGCTTAGTAAGAAGAGGAAAAGGGGAGAAGACAGAGAAAATGCAGGGCAGAAGACCCTGGAATGACAGAGTCAGAAGCCAGAGTAAGGCATCTACGAGGCAAGGCAAGCCAGCAACCACCAGAAGCTGGAGACGCAGGTGGGACACCCCCCTCCCCCCCTCCCCCGGCCCAACTCTGGAACCACCAGCAGGAGCACAGCCGCTGCCCCCGCCCCCCGCTCGCGGAGGCCCCGGCCCCGCCCAGCCGGCGGAGACCTCACCACCCCCGGCCCGCGGAGGCCCCGCCCCCCCCCCGCCCGGGCCGCAGACTTCGGGCCCCAGAACTGAGAGGGCAAACCCCCAGCTTGTGGAAACATATTACAGCAAGCTGCAGGAAACTCGCACAGACCCTGTTCTGCTGGCTGCTGGGAGCGAGGGTCTCATTCAAGGCAGATAGATTACAGAACCCCCCATCAGCACTGGACCGCCAGAAATCCCAGAGCAGTGGCCTCGCACCAGACTGCTGAAGGGTCGCGGCCGCGCAGGTTCTTGCACCCCGTACGTGTGGGGGTGGGGGCACCGAGTCTCCCCGGGGAAGACCTTCAATGTCACCATTCACAGAGCTGATCAAGAGCCCAGTACTTACAGTGATGAGAAGCCGGCTGGGACATCCGCTGTGCTAGGAGCAGAATTCTGAAGCTGATCAGACAAAGGGATGGGGGGGCGGGGGGGAGAGGGAGGGAGGGGGCTTCCTCCCGGGAGGCCAGCAGGCACCCAGGCAAGGAGCTCCTCGGGAGAAAGCCGCAGGGCCCCGCGAGGGGCTGACTGCTAGCTGAGCCCAGTGGTGTCCGCCCCTGCTGGAGCCCAGCCACCCTCACAGTCAGACCACACAGACTTTGTGCAGGAATCTGAAACACAGGAAATAGCTCGCAGCAAAACCAAACCAGTAAGGACAAGCAAGGCCTAAGTACGTGGGCACCTTCAGCCCACAGTGGATGGCCAGTCGGCCCCTCCCTCCCTCACCCCAGGGCTTTATTTTCCCGCTTCCTCACCTGGGCATGGGGCGAATTTCACACGGCAGCGGGACTTCCATCCTCTTCCTTGGCAGGTTGCAACCCAGCAGTTTGGTGGAAGGTTCCAGCAAAGGCCACTCAGACCGGGAGACCTGCACAGCCGTGGCCCCTCGCTTTCTCCTGCCAGCCCAACCCTGCAGCTCCTGACAAGGACAGGTAGCATCACCTGACATACGCACACAGGTGCTCTTGCTTCAAACAGCCCTGTTCCAGAGACACCTGGGCCCCACTCTCAGAAAGGCTGCTCAGGTTGGGTCAGGCTGCCCAGGTGGGCCTATTCTTAGCCATCAGGGGCTCATAGGTGAAGAACATGGGCCTTGCTGCAGCCCGTCAGGAACAGGTGTGCAGGATCAGGAGTGGTGAGGACGGACATCGGGTTGCTACTTGTTTCGTTTTCTAAATCATTTCAACCAGCTGGTGAGTCAGAGGGAGCTTCAAGAAGACCCTGTTCTCACAAGATGTAAGGAATGGGGGAGGTGGGGTGGTGGGTGGAGACACAGGCCAGGGTGCCCGTGGGTGCAGCGGGCACAGCAGCCCAGAGAGGCCCTTCCTGCATGCAGCCGAAAGCTGTGTACATGCTGGTGGAGGAAGCCACGCTCTCTGCACCACAGAGGGAGTGGACTCATCCAGGAGCAGCTGTGGGCCTTGCTGGGGCCCAGTGTGGCCTTCTGGCATCTGAGCTGGGAGCTGGACCAGCAGCTGGGTGAGCGTGCCCCACGGAAGCTCCTGGGGATGGGAGATGATAGAACCTGCTCAGGGTGACCCCAATCACAGGGTTGCAAAACGCATCCCACGGAAGGGAAGGTTTTTGCAAAGTGAATCCTGAGAGTCAGGTTTTGTGAAAGGGGCGGTCAGAGGGGGACGGGGAGCAGTGCCGAGGAGCAGGTGGCCATTCCAGCCAGCCCACAAATCCTAACAGCTCCGAGCGTCCCGTCTGCTCTCTGGTTGTTACTTCGCTTCTCCCAGTGTGTGTGCAGGGTGCCGGTTGCATGCACTGCTGAATGTGACTTGCTGAGGACGGGGCAGGAAGGCGTGTTGAGCAAACGTTTCAGGAACCACAGGCCCGCATGTCCTGCAGACCGCACCTTGGGGTACACAGCCCAGAGTTTCCCGCAGAGGCTGAGGATGGGCTCCAGCGTGTGTGTGCCAGTCATGGAGTGGGTGAGACTCCAGGGAGCAGTTACAGTTTTTGCTGCCATGTGGGACGTGGCATCCCACACCTGGAAGCCTCAGGATCTCACGGCCCAGCACCCCCGGTGTCCCGTGTCTGGGCTCCTGGGAGCCGGGAGGACCAGGCCAGCTTCTACTACACTCTACTACACTCTGCCTTCGCAGGCCACGGCGTCCCTCAAGATTGGGGCTGCGGTTTCTCAGGGAGAAACACAGGACTGGGGAGCATCCTGTGTGGGAAGAGGAGACGAGGAAGCTTCTGTATGTGGACATGTGGGCCTCTCGCTGAGGGCACACAGGAGGGGCAGTCCACATGAGGGCATAGGGGTCCAGGAGAGCTCACAAGCATGTTTTGCACGGAAGATGTGAACGCGTGGGGACAGAGGCCCTGACCGCAGACACATTTGCTGTGGAAACTCTGAATTCTTTCCCGAGAATGTAGACAAGGGAAAGATTCCAGGCACGCAGGCAAACGAGTTCTGGAGAGTTCCAGATGTACTTATGGGGGAGTGGAGACATGGATGGAGACTGGGGCTCAGCTCTCCAAACACTGGAAATGCTTCCGAGCCGGCGAGAAGTGGTTCCTCCATTGAGCCAAGGGGGAGGGCAGGTGTGTGGGGTTCCCGAGACCACCCCCAGCTCCGCGGACTTGCTAGGAGGCTCGCAGGACTGCGAGTAGGGTTGTGTGCAAGGGTCTAGGGCGCACTACGGATATGCACGGCCGCATTCCAAGGTTGGGAGGGGGCGGTCAGGAGGAATCCGGGTGCTGATTCCTTACGTTCCCTCGGAAATTCCCGGAAGGTCTCGCAGAAGGTGCTCTTCCAGCAAGGAAGTGTGGAAACACGAGGCGTGCTCCTCCAGGGAAGCGCCTTAGAGACTCCGTGCCTGGGCTGGGTCGGTCACGTGGGCACGCTGCCCGGCACCTCCAAAATCCAGGCACCCAGCAGGAAAGCAGGCGTTCAGCATGAACCACGAGGTTTGTGCCAACAGTGTAGACACAGAGCCCCTCGGTCGGTTAGGAATAGTTTCAGTTCGGGGTAAGGAACCGCTCACTGCTCTGAGCTTCCTGGGGGCTGTAAAGATGAGTACACCTGGAGACGGAGTGGGGGGAGGGAGGCGAGGTCAGCGTGGAGACGGGTGGGGGCGGGGCGGGGAGGTGGGGCAGGGGAGGGTAGGACCTGTGAGCCGGGGTCAGGGCCGAGGGCGGGGTCTGAACGGGGAGGCGGGGCCAGCGTGGAGACCGGGTGGGGGCGGGGCGGGGAGGTGGGGCAGGGGAGGTTGGGGCGTGTGAGCCGGGGTCAGGGCCGAGGGCGGGGTCTGAATGGGGAGGCGGGGCCAGCGTGGAGACCGGGTGGGGGCGGGGAGGTGGGGCAGGGGAGGGTAGGACCTGTGAGCCGGGGTCAGGGCCGGGGGCGGGGTCTGAACGGAGAGGCGGGGCCAACGTGGAGACCGGGTGGGGGCGGGGCGGGGAGGTGGGGCAGGGGAGGTTGGGGCCTGTGAGCCAGGGTCAGGGCCGGGGGCGGGGTCTGAACGGGGAGGCGGGGCCAGCGTGGAGACCGGGTGGGGGCGGGGCGGGGAGGTGGGGAAGGGGAGGGTAGGACCTGTGACCCGGGGTCAGGGCCGGGGGCTGGGTCTGAACGGAGAGGCGGGGCCAACGTGGAGACCGGGTGGGAGCGGGGCGGGGAGGTGGGGCAGGGGAGGTGGGGGCCTGTGAGCCGGGGTCAGGGCCGAGGGCGGGGTCTGAACGGGGAGGCGGGGCCAGCGTGGAGACCGGGTGGGGGCGAGGCGGGGAGGCGGGGCAGGGGAGGGTAGGACCTGTGAGCCGGGGTCAGGGCCGAGGGCGGGGTCTGAACGGGGAGGCGGGGCCAGCATGGAGACCGGGTGGGGGCGGGGCGGGGAGGTGGGGCAGGGGAGGGTAGGACCTGTGAGCCGGGGTCAGGGCCGAGGGCGGGGTCTGAATGGGGAGGCGGGGCCAGCGTGGAAACCGGGTGGGGGCGAGGCGGTGAGGCGGGGCCAGCGTGGAGACCGGGTGGGGGCGTGGCGGGGAGGTGGGGCCAGGGTGGAGACGGGGCGGGGCGGGGAAGTGGGACAGTGGAGGTTGGGACTTGTGAGCCGGGGTCAGGGCCGGGGGCGGGGTCTGAACGGAGAGGCGGGGCCAGCGTGGAGACCGGGTGGGGGCGGGGCGGGCAGATGGGGCAGGGGAGGTTGGGGCCTGTGAGCCGGGGTCAGGGCCGGGGGCGGGGTCTGAGCCGGGAGGCGGGGCCAGCGTGGAGACCGGGTGGGGGCGGGAGGTGGGGCAGGGGAGGGTAGGACCTGTGAGCCGGGGTCAGGGCCGGGGGCGGGGTCTGAACGGAGAGGCGGGGCCAGCGTGGAGACCGGGTGGGGGCGGGGCGGGGAGGTGGGGCAGGGGAGGTTGGGGCCTGTGAGCCGGGGTCAGGGCCGAGGGCGGGGTCTGAATGGGGAGGCGGGGCCAGCGTGGAAACCGGGTGGGGTCGGGGCGGGGAGGTGGGGCCAGGGTGGAGACGGGGCGGGGCGGGGAAGTGGGACAGTCGAGGTTGGGACCTGTGAGCCGGGGTCAGGGCCGAGGGCGGGTCTGAACGGGGAGGCGGGGCCAGTGTGGAGACCGGGTGGGGGCGGGGCGGGGAGGTGGGGCAGGGGAGGTTGGGGCCTGTGAGCCGGGGTCAGGGCCGGGGGCGGGGTCTGAGCCGGGAGGCGGGGCCAGCGTGGAGACCGGGTGGGGGCGGGAGGTGGGGCAGGGGAGGGTAGGACCTGTGAGCCGGGGTCAGGGCCGGGGGCGGGGTCTGAACGGAGAGGCGGGGCCAGCGTGGAGACCGGGTGGGGGCGGGGCGGGGAGGTGGGGCAGGGGAGGTTGGGGCCTGTGAGCCGGGGTCAGGGCCGAGGGCGGGGTCTGAATGGGGAGGCGGGGCCAGCGTGGAAACCGGGTGGGGTCGGGGCGGGGAGGTGGGGCCAGGGTGGAGACGGGGCGGGGCGGGGAAGTGGGACAGTGGAGGTTGGGACCTGTGAGCCGGGGTCAGGGCCGAGGGCGGGTCTGAACGGGGAGGCGGGGCCAGTGTGGAGACCGGGTGGGGGCGGGGCGGGGAGGTGGGGCAGGGGAGGTTGGGGCCTGTGAGCCGGGGTCAGGGCCGGGGGCGGGTTCTGAACGGAGAGGCGGGGCCAGCGTGGAGACCGGGTGGGGGCGGGGCGGGCAGATGGGGCAGGGGAGGTTGGGGCCTGTGAGCCGGGGTCAGGGCCGGGGGCGGGGTCTGAGCCGGGAGGCGGGGCCAGCGTGGAGACCGGGTGGGGGCGGGAGGTGGGGCAGGGGAGGGTAGGACCTGTGAGCCGGGGTCAGGGCCGGGGGCGGGGTCTGAACGGAGAGGCGGGGCCAGCGTGGAGACCGGGTGGGGGCGGGGCGGGGAGGTGGGGCAGGGGAGGTTGGGGCGTGTGAGCCGGGGTCAGGGCCGAGGGCGGGGCCTGAATGGGGAGGCGGGGCCAGCGTGGAAACCGGGTGGGGTCGGGGCGGGGAGGTGGGGCCAGGGTGGAGACGGGGCGGGGCGGGGAAGTGGGACAGTGGAGGTTGGGACCTGTGAGCCGTGGTCAGGGCCGAGGGCGGGTCTGAACGGAGAGGCGGGGCCAGCGTGGAGACCGGGTGGGGGCGGGGC